CTGATGTCACGATAGAAACATTCCCCGGTAACTGCGCTAAATGAGATTCTTTTTCTTTCTTTTTTTTTTTTAATATGTAAGTGATTTTGGTGCGTAATATTTTCTTTTGTTTGTGGTGTAAAGGCGGGTGGGTCATTAGAATATTAACATTGTTCAGGGGCGTGGGAAATAAAAGGTTGCGGTTGCGAGCCTTGCGGAGGGGGGAGGGCGGGGGGGGGCAGTAATTGGGATTCTTAGGAAGTGTGTTACTAATGTGCATGTTTTGTCAAATTGTCACCCCCCCCTCCCCCCCCCCCAATTGCTGGATATTATATTTTATAAACAATTAATACGAAACAACTTTGTTTTCAAGGGGTTGTTTAATTTTAAAAAGGACAAGAGCCCACCACATCTACAGGCAGCGGTGGTCAACATACTCATTCTAATGGGGATGCACGGTAGGACAGGGATTCTCAACCTGGGGTCTAAATGGGGGGGGGGGGGGGGGGTGGGGCATTTTATAATCAACAGATTGATATAGAATTGAAGCTTGGTTGTAAGAATAATCTTCTTTAATTTGTTTCATAAATTCATCTTAATGGTTTTTTTTGAAGCGTCATATGTGTCCATGACTTAAGTATACATGGCAAAAGTATCTATGACGTAAGTATCCATGATGTAAGTATCCATGAAATACATATCCATGACGTAAGAACTCATTAACAGTTTCCAGTAGGCTCATTAACAGTGTCCAGTAGCATCCAGTTTACTTGTTCTACTTCCACAGCCCCTTACATAACGCTGATGGCCAACATGGGTGGACTGTCCACTTTGGTCAAACTGACCTACACAAGTCATGATCTACTCAGGAGGAGGGTCCATTCCTGTTTAGAGATTGTTTCGAAACATGGTTAGTTTTTCTGGATGGTCTGCTGTCAATAATTTTTTTTTTCACGTTAGAGTGTGAATGAGCAATGTGTATGGAAGTCTGTATAGAAGTAAGTGTATATTGAAGTATGTTAGTATAAGAGGGTCTTTAAAGAAGTCTGTATCAGATTGCATAGTGAAATCTGTATGTTTGGAAGTGTTTCATGAGTCTGTCAGTGTTTGGAAGTCTACATGACATATTGCAATAGTTATTCACGAAATGTGAGGCTTTTTTTATTTTCCCCTTTGTTTGAATTGTTTACTAACAAAGGTTTTTACCTGGGGTTTCATCATTTTCCCGAGGTTTTGATTATCCCGGGAAAACGGGAATGGAGTTTTCTTCATCCCGGGATCCCGGAATTTCCTTCTAAGTTCGGGGATAAAATTAAATGTTTAAAAAAATATATTATAAAATGCATTGAAATATAACAGTTACATAAGTTTGTTTATTTAGTTATTTGATTGTTATTGTTTATTAATTAACACAACAACAACAAAAAACCCAACAAAATTACGGTTAGCTCTGAGAGGTTGGTCACTTGTTAAACCGCATGTATAGAAAATAAAAGCGTAACATTTCAATGGGTTTTCATTCTTTATAGGAATGGCCCACTAGAAGAGCTCTCGATAGGAATGGCCCACTAGAAGAGCTCTCGATAGGAATGGCCCACTAGAAGAGCTCTCGATAGGAATGGCCCACTATTTCGAATGAAAAACAATGACTAATGTTAAAACGTGAATTATAATATGTATATTTATGCGCCTTACTCTGTTGATTTTGGAAGAAGTTAAAAAAAAAAAAGCACGACATGAAATTTATGTAGTTTGACAAATGAACGTGTTGGGATAATCAAGGTACTTAAGCACAGGTTTCGAGCCCACGATGGGAGGTAACCTAAAAATGGGGTTGCGAAGGAATTTATGCCGGGTCGCCGTCTGAAACAATAGACAAAGAGAAATGGTGATGTTTAAATAGTTTTCTTTTTTAGAGTGCTGCCTTGAGTTACAGTTTCGATACTGACTTTAAATGTATCGCCAATTCCATTTAACTGGAAAATAAAGTTTTTAACATGTTCTCCTTTCTGAGAATTTTCCCTATTTCAAAGCCTTTTATTCAAAATATCCTCTGTATTAGTATGTATTAAAGTCTCTATGGAAGCGTGTATTTTGCTTCTATATGTATGTGGTCGCGACTTTAAAATGCTTGAGAACATGTGCACTGGAACTACTGAGCCTAGTAGTTCGGTGCAGTTAACTAGATTTGACAGGTCTTGGCTTCTAGCTTTTACCCGGGATTTCCCGGGATGTGAAAATTTCCCAGGAAGACTTTTATTTACTATAATATTGTGCGGGATATCCCGGGAGAGAAACCCGAGTTTTTTCTTGTTTTTTTTTTTGGTACCCACTGGTTCAATTGATTTGTGTTGTCTGTTGTTTGTACTCCAGGAATCCTAAATACTTCGTTAGTGTTTCTTTATGTGAAAGTTATCATTTTCTTATTGTGAATTCACGTTTGTGTCCAGCTCCTGCCCAGCAGAAGTTGATAGAAGAGGGTGTCCTCCCTTTGGCCGTCCGCCACTTCACGCCACTGTTCCCCAGTGCCATCCAGCTCAACTGCCTCTTTGTGTTGAACAGCTTGTGCCACAGCCGAAAGAATCTGGTCAAGACGCTGGCTGTCGAGAACTACTTAGTGGTCAAGTCAGTCATCAGAGTCCTGTCCGAATGGACATCGCAGGTAAGAAAGCGTCCAACCTGGTCCAAAAGATAGGAAAGAAATGTGTCTCTTACTTCTGGGAAACCGAATCTTTTTAGATTTGCTAAATGATAATATAATGACTTAAGAATAATGTGTGACCCGAGAAGGATGTTGAATTTAAACGGGATGGTACATTGTGAGTTTCTGCACAGCTTTAAAAACAAACCATACAAAATGTAATACGATCACAGAAGAAATTAGGTTAGATTTATATAATCCCACCACCCCCCCACCCCACAAACAAAAATGAGTGCCCCAATCCATCTGCACCTTATTTTTTTACCAAACTTAATAATTAGATACATTCAGAGCCATCGCGTGACTATTGGAGGTCCAACTCCAGTCTTGGGTTTTCTGCCCCTTTGCACTCAAAGTTGATAAATTAGGTTTTTTACCACATCATCACAACATTGGGCTCCATTAATATTCAAGGCACTGAGTTGCAGGGCCCAGGATACATTCACATTTCAAGATGTGCAGTTTATTACCCTGTATCCTAGACATTGTCTAATTTCACCATTTGGTGTCCACCTTCTTTTTTGTTTTAAACCTCTTAAATTTCCCAATTTAGAGAAAGAAAATCTATTTTTAGAACATCCATTTATCTAGTTCTACCCAATGTTTATCTGCATATGCTATATCTATATTGACAGTTTGTTACATCAGCTACCAGAACACAAAGTCTAAGCATCACCCAAATACAGAACTGGTGCACAGTAAGTTAACTATGCATGGATGTCAGTTCATGATAATGTGGATAATTATCACCCGTGTGGTGATCTGACTTATGACTTATTAGAGAGGAGTGTCTCTCGTATGAGATCTCCTCTTGGCACTCTGTCTAGGGATATGTTATTTAAGCCGAATAACCACACGGACATAACACCTATCTATATACATATAGTATAGACTGAAACGAAGTCTTAGTTAAAGGTGAAATTAACTACAAATATTTATTACACAATAATATTTACAACTTCCTACGTGAAACACTCGTGGTGCTCAATGTATATACATCAAACGGATTTCATCCAATTAGAAAGGTATATTAACACAAAGCAAGTGTCCCTAACATACAGACGGTATCATCATTACTACTGCTATATTGCTCAAGTTCTATGCTCGTTCTTGGTAAACTTAGCCTTTATAGATTCTGTGATGGTCTCGGTGGATCACACAGTGTGGGAGTCCTTCTGTTCAAGAAGCAGTGTCCCTGTTCCGGCCTTCGGTGCTGTTCTGAGCGTAGCGAAGTCGGAGTTCCCGGTCGTAGAGTCCTTGGGATGTCTGCGAGGGGAAGATGACTCTCCCGCGATAAATCGTGGTGGTGAGAGTCCCTGGATCTCGAAGTCCTAGCTGTCAGGTAGTTTGGTGTAGGATGTAGATCCATCCCCTAGTTCCAGCTCAAGGTAAGTCGGTCCAGTAGTAGAAACCAGGCTAAAGGCAAAATGATACAAAATTGGATAAGTATCCAGGCGAATATCCATAAGCTGATAAGTCCCGTTCCAACAGCAACGAATTCAGATCGATGTATGGAAGGTGACATAGCTCGTGCATATACATCCAAATGGTGGATGTGATTATAAGTCTTGTCATTGTCGGCGGGAGCATATGTTGCATCGCGACAATGTTAGACCACTCAAACATTTTAATTAATGAAATATGGGACATGGTATCAATAACAATCTTTAAATTTACAGGCCCATAATATACATATTGTCTTCTCGTTAAGAGGGACATGGGCGAGTTGGAACAACAACCTACCATCCCCATGATAAGATGGTGGCATGTCGAAGCCCGCGGCAAAAGCAATAATAGAATTCATAATATCAATATAAAGTAATAGAGGCAGTAGAGGGTCAAACGCGATCGAATATTTGAGACATAGCGAATGAACAATACAAGTGCAATACCAAAATCATGATTGCGTACTTACTAGTACTCTAGGTAGCAGTTGAAGTTAAGTATCACGCCAGTGAAGTGCTAAGTCTAGTCACTTCTAGTCACTTTGCGGAAATTGAGCCATGTTTATTCTGGATAACTTTTGTTGATTATTGTTGATATTTAGACCACTGTGGATAATTGCTCATATTTATTTAGGAACATTATTGATTTTTTTTGTTCCCCCAAAAATATATATATATATATGTTTTTAAAAGTCTACTTTTACATTTACTTAATTTTATTTTTAAATAAAAATGTCAAGCTGACATTGACTCATCAAAATTGTGTGTTCATTTAATACCTTTAAGTGTTGAATAAATAGCTAGTGAATGATTAAAGATGTAATAGTTTATATTTATATTTGGGTGTGTTCTTCATCTTACTGTCACAGTTGCCAAGACAAAATCTGATCCTCCTCTGCAAGCTCTGTGTAGATGGTAAGTGTACATGGTTTGCTTGGATGATGCACTGTCTGTGAAACTTTTAACTTCCTGTCATTACAACATTGAAGGAAAGTACCCTAAACCATTTTATCATTTTGCATGATTTAATTAAATAAGATCAGAAAAAACATAATTTGTTCCTTAGGTAAACTTAATCCTCATTCTGTTCTTAAATGTTAAGGTGAATGTTAGACCTAAAATGTATCTTGAAAACGAAACATTAAAAAAAATATTAAGTTGATAGAAACATGAAAAGTTTTAAAGTAATTTTTTAACTGCCCCTTGATTAGAGACAGCTTGTAAGTTGATGGTCAAGAGAGGAGTGGTTCTCAAGCTGAAAGGGGTATGGTACACATGTGACACAGAGACAGACAGGACCTTGGTTATGGAAGCTTTGGCCATAATATCCAGGTTCCCTCGACCAGCTGTAAGTCCACGTATTCCACTCTACCGGGTCATATACATCAACAGCGTGTTATGAATTTAAACAAATCTAAAACTATTCTCACGCAAACCACTTTGGATCAGGCATTCTCAACTTCAGTTTTAAAGGGGTCAGACCAGGTTGTCATGTAATTAAAATGATGCACAAAGCCAAGGGAAATAAATCTTTTGATCAAACCTGAAAACAAGTTTATAAACCCAGCATCTACACTTTATATAAACACCAGACTCTACAGAACATTCCAGACACTATATTCATTTTTTAAAATTACATATTTTAATTACAATTCCAATGCTGGCAATGGCATCTGAGTATAAAGTATTAATTTTTAATTTAATAAAAAGTATAAATTAATGTTTTAATATTTTTACTTTTGGCTTATATTAAAAAAAAACATTTTCTTTTTGTTTCCTCAGGAGAAAATATGCTATGAAGGTTTCCTTACCTGTCTGACAGATGCCCTGATTGAACAGGAACACAGGGAACAGGTCCTGGAAGTGGTGGCAAATCTTGGCAAGAAACATTTACCTGTGAGTCACATGATCATGCATGCATCCCAACGTTGATGTACAATAAAATATTGATGATCGATATCATTTAATTCTAAACATTTCTTTCCAGTTACATATCCAATATGGGTGCAATGGTCTTTCCTGATCACTCACATAGTATCCTATGTAAGACTAATAAGAATAAGCCTTTTTGGACAACAAATGTGTCATTTAAAAGAAAAGTGCATTTTTAAAATATTTTAAAATATTATTTTACACTTCTTGTTGTAGAAACCTGGCTATGCCACATTCAATGCAAATTATGTCAACCGTAAAATCAATAATTTCTTATTAAAGCTCATTTTATAGTTTCTTAAAAATAATATATAAAGAATTAAACATATAACTATGCCTATAAGTTTATTTTAAAAACTTGAAGTCTGTGAATTCTTTCTGAGATAATCCCCTAATGGAAATAATTTTTTTAAAATAATTTATCTACACAGCAAATGTTTGAAGCCGGTCTGATGCAGAAACTGGTGGCATGTTTTGGAGACAAAGTGTTTGCCCGTCGTCTCTACCCCAGTGTCCTGTCCATCCTTGCTGCCTACAGTTCCATTGGTGAGAAGGAGAAATTCTCACAGAAATACTCAAAAGTTTTTAACATTTTGTCTTTTGGTTGTTTCTCTTGGCAATCATTTCTATTTCACAAGAGGGCTTAAATATTTTCAAGTAGCAATGTTGGAACATATGTGTCACAGTTTTAGAACATTTTAAACAGTAACAATAAAAATCATTTATGGAAAAAAATTTGAGATTCAATTTTGTTTTGATGTGTTTTTCAATGAAATTATTTCAGCATCAATTTATATAAACAGTTTTTGTTCCTGCATTGAAATTAATTTTCATAAAAAATATTAAACCTTATACTTGGTTAAACCTAGAGTTTTGCCAAATGTAAAATGTTATGATTAACTTTTTAACTCCTTTGCTACATTCATGTGTAAATAATGCTTTTGTTCTTTGGTAAAACTATTTTCTAAAGCCTAAAGATTTTTGCTTTAATGTTTGATTTCCATCCAATCCTGTCCAATTGAACATAAACAAGTGTTGTCATGGTAACTAGACAAGTAGAGATTTTGAATAATGTATTGTTTTCTGACAAGTAGACCTAGTTTAGAGGCTATGATCAGCAATTTTTCTTTTAAAGGGAAACACTCGGCAATCTCAAAATAGTAATGGATATGTGAAAGCCAGTTTTATTGACTGCTAGAAAGATTCAGTCCAAGACCTGTGGGCAGTTTCAAATTTAACTATCAGTGGAAGAAGAGAGAGTTGTGGGCCTTGCCAAATTTATGACGAGTTTAGGAAGGGGGACAACTTTTCAGGTTTGGGAAAAGTGTGTACGTTCTGATTTGAAATGTCCTAAAGTTAATTTTGTTTCATTGTTCCCTCAGATAAAGTGCGTGACCTACTGCTAGAGAACAAAGGCAAGGCCTACACTCTAGTCCTTGACACAGCTTTCCTTACCAGTGATTTTAGTGTCCTGCAATCTTGTATCACAATTGTCAGCAAACTGAGCACTGCAGGTACATATATATGGTACAGTAGGTCAGCAAAGTGGTCGAATTAACAGGTTATGAAAACTTTTCATTTAACTGCATGTTTTAGTTTGAGAATCAAACTTATTATTTGAATGGGCTCCCTTCTCAGTTGTCCCCGCTGAACTACTTAAGGCCAATACCCTTCTCCTGGTGGCGTACATTGACAAGTTGCTCAAAACAGGACCAGATGGGCTTGTGTTACATGGACTCATGCAGCTGCAGGACTACCTGAAAGGTGAGGCCACTTCTTTAAAGTTATCACAAATTTTTCTCACTTGGAAATTTACATCTGCTTTTATCAACAGTTTAATAACTACGTTCACATCCATCTTCAATCAGCGAGGGAGAGGGCATGAAAAAAGGGAGGGGTGGGGTTGTATGACCAATGGAAATACAAAGGAAAGGAAAAATGTTAAAAGCCTATTGCCATTTTTTTATCTCCACTGTTCATTTCCTCAGACATATTTATGTATTAGTTCATGAACGGCATTGTATACAATCACAATAGATAAACTATCAGGCATGATCTAAGGTGAACATTATTTTATGTCTTCCACATTTGACATTCTCATTATTACTGCCACAATAACTTGCCTGAATAAAACCTAATCCGTCATAACTCTTCTCACTCCAGTTGACCACCTGTTCCAATCATTCCGTGAACACCACACGCACCGGGTTGTTGAAATATTGTGCAACGCCCCCTACAAGCCCCCTGTGCAGTATATGGCTGGCCGTGTCCTTGAAATCCTCACCGGGGTGAGGAGACGGTCTAGTAACTTTGATGACCATCATGAGGGATCAGCCCCTTCCTTGGAGCTGAGAAGAGACAGATCTGATGAAAACGATGATGGAAAAAGCAATGATAAAGTTGCCAAAAAAGTTTCCACGTCCGATAGTTTTCAACCGGCTGAACTGGAGACGGTGATGGAGAAATTACTGCCCAGCGATGATGAAGTGTTTGAAGAGGGTGATGAAGTGGAACAAGATAAGAAGACAAGAATCTGTGAGACTAGCATCAAGTTGAACATCATCAGTGCAACTGATGACGAAGATGAGAACGATGATGTTGTGGCTGATGAAAAGAACGAGGATGAGTTTGAAATGGTGCAGCCAGATACAATGTTGTAACACTTTGAAATGGTGCAGCCAGATAGGAGGGGTGTTGTAACACTTTGAAATGCTGCAGTTAGATAAACATAACCAAGCAATGCTGTAAAACTGAAATAATGTAGCCTGGTGACGTTACAGTTTCAAGATGTGTGGACTGATGTTGAGACAATGTTAAAATGTTGTGGCCTGGTTTTGTAAGAAATTGAAATGGTGGCGTCTTGCATTGTAATGGTCTGAATATAGTAAGGCCTTTTGTTATAACACTAGAAAATAGTGTGCCCTGGCATTGAAGCAGTACAAAATGGTGCACCTTATCACCTTGGTGATTCAATGCATTGTTTTTAAGGGTGATGTTACATTTAAAAGGGTGATGATATGTTTAAAAGGTTATGGTCAAATACTCAATGATCATAGTAACAAAATTTGTTGTTGTTTTAAAAGGGTCCTGTCTGGTATTGGTCTACTTTGTAAAGCATGACATGAGGACAGAAAAAGAACAACATATTTTGGGGGCATTAATTTCCTGTTGTACAGGTACAATACATTTTTTGGTAGCCTACTTAAGTAAGATTAGTGTAGTAGTATGGGCATTGGTTTTGATCACTTACTTTAAAAAAATACACACCATCATAGAATCTTGAATCGTATTTTCATATACCAATAATTAGATAGATTTTTTTTTAATTTCCTTTTTTTAGACATGTCATTTACCCTGTAACATTTATTTAAAATTTACCAGTAACACTTTCATTATGCATCAAAGTGTAAAAATGTAAATACCTATTGATTAATTTAAGTATGTGCAATATTGCTTATGAAAAAATAAGTATTAAATGCTTTCATAAAGTCTATTGAACACTAGAAATAAGGAGTTATCTTTTATTGTCACAAATTTTATCAAGAGTTTGTGCCCTGTATTTTAACATGGCACACATAAAGTGTTGTATTAGTGCATTTGTTCCTTAGTTATAAGGCACACATTTCTGTTCATAAAATTATAAGCTTACAATTAACAAACATGATAACAAACAATAGACAGCTGCGATAAACAAGCAGTTAACAATATTTTCTTTGTGACCAATAATTACATTTTTTTGCTCCTTGTGAAATCCACTTTTATGAGGAACAAAATGTATTTCCCAATTTTTATTTTAAATCACAATATAATATAGAATTTTTTTTTTTTTTTTGCTGAAAAGCTTCCCAAATATGCTCAGGCCATTTTTTTGTTGATTTTTTTAAGTTCAAGATACTCATGATCTTATTCTTGTAGTCTAGGCTTATATTCCACTATTTGTTGCACATTATATATTGAGATTATCATTAACTAAGATTTTTAAAAAGTAATTTTCATCTAAAGCATGAGAACAAGATTACTAAATGATTAAACTGATTATATCATCAAATTTGATGCGTAAAACTCCCATTCCTCTGGCAATTTCCTACTACAAGCCCAACAGATTGAAAACTGAAGTTACCTATTTTGAAATGTCATTGTGTGTCTCTGAAGTAAGAGAGAAGATATCACAGAAGAAATGTATGTCAGAGCTTCTAAATTATAGCAATAAAATTGTATGGATTTGTTTAATTTCTAGTAATTTTTTTACTGCATTTTTTAAAATGTCAATCTGGCCAGTGAAACAATTCTCAAATAACTTTTCCCTGTAGATCTCATTTAGAGACATTTAATTAGAATTTTTAGTAATATTAACAGTATTAATTTGTATTATGTAAAAAAATTCTGGCTGACACAATAATATTGTAAATGCACTTTTTAAAAAAGTTTACAATTTTTCTTTTTTTTCGTGGCTAATTTTTGCCAACATAAAAACAACACCAATCTATAATGCCCTTTTTTAAAATTATTTTGAAACATGCTTTGACTTTTAAGCACATCCATTCAGTATGGCATGATGATGTATTGTTTCATTATTAATGTGATTTCTACTTTTTTAGCAGTTGTATAAATAAAGTTGTGAAATTGCAACAGTTGTGTTGCATTGTTCTTTTTTCATCTCTTTGTGCCAAAATGTATGTAAAGGTTTCAGTGTATTTTTCTTCATTTGAACTTGTATTTTTTTTTATTATATCTGTCCTGCTTAGAAATAGTGATTGCCCTGACGAACTTGGTGCTACTTCATCTATAGAACTCCTTGATACTTCTGAAATATGGTCTCTCTTTCCTAAATGTGTCTGGATGGACACCTTCCCGCGAGTACTCATGGTCTTATTACACCGGCCCGCCCAGTTTTTGACATAGACACATCAGATGCAACCGAACGTCCAGCGGTGTTACTGGACCCTTATTTCATAGCTCCCGCTGTGGCTGATCCAGAGGTTGCTTACCTCTATGGATATATATATATATACTTACGACTGCCAGTGGCGTAGCTAGGGTTGGTGACACCTGGTGCGGTAAACCCATGGTGTCACACCCCCATCCCCCTTTTTTCACCCGACTTCAACGATGGATTTCTTCTTGTTATAGTAAGTCCACAGTACAAAAGCAAAAACAAATTTATTAAAGGTCAGGAAGTACATGAATTTAAGAACTTTAACAACATTAAGCTAAATTTATTTTTACAATAAATTTACTTTATTTAAAATTTTCCTTTCCTGCTAGTCAAAGCTGCAAATCTTAAAATCACTTGATCAAAATCAATATACTACACCGTATCATTTTCAATTGATAGTAGCGCCAGATCAGAAAGCCTTGACTGTCCCATGATGGATCTTAAATAGTTCTCCTGACACTCTCTTCTTAAACCTGAATCTTTTCTCTACCCAAATTCCATATAGGTCTGATTTTAAAAGTGCCTTTTTAATAGCATGTTCCACCAAGTGACAGCGCTTCTCGTGCAGACATATCTTAAAAAATTAAGGCCTCTAGGTTGGTCACCACGTTGTCAAGAGTAAATCCTTTAGTCTGCAGACCTTTCTGTGTAAGATTAACTTCCTCAAGTAGATCAGCCCAAAGGTAAAGGTAGCAGATAAACGTGAAATCACAGACGGCATGTAAAAGACCTTGTGCTGTATAACAATCGTGCTCAAATGTTAAAGGGGCGGTGCTAATGGCGAATCTGCAAAAATATTTATTTTTGAGTATTTCTGGGGTTGGGTTTGATGGGTTTCAAAAAATTGTTTAATTTATATAAATTTAAACAAATTATTAAAATATATTAGAAAATTTTGTAAAATAGTATTTTGTTAACCCTATAAATGGGTAAATATTCATTTTAAATTTACTTAGATTATATTCATGTACTTAAACACTTCCGCCCAAGCCACATCGTATTTGATATCAATGGAAAGCTTTATTTCACAGAATTTAGATCAATATAGCATTAGCATCCTGTCATTTACGAAAGTTACCCAAAACATCAATCGTCGTTAAATCGTGATAAAAACGGTGTTTTTCTGACCTAATTGTAGGGTCCTCTCAGTTCTGGCGCATCAACCTTGAACTTTTAATAGGTTACATGTGTGGAAAATTTCATGTGATTGGTTATACTTTTATGATATTCGGTTAGGCCGAGCATTGTGTGCTCTTCAATTTGGTGTCACCCCCTGAGATGGTGTCCCCCGGTGCGGTGCGCATCCCCCGCACCCCCGTGCTCAGAGGCGTAGCGAGGGTGGCAGGTGGGGACAGATGTCCCCGGGCGCCAGCTAGTTGGGGGCGCCAAAATGTGCTTTGATATTATTTTATTGATTAAAATAATGGGTTTGAGAGTTGAAAAAAAGAAAAAGGGGCGCTTTAAAATGGATCTTGTCCCGGGTGCGAATCTTGTCCCCGGGCGCCAAACACCCTCGCTACGTCTCTGCCCGTGCTACTGCGACTGAACAGTTCTAATGTTTAACACATGCTAATACTTGGACGGCAGGGTCTGCTGGACTCTATCCCCAAGATCACAAAATTCTTCGCACGGACACAACTTACTCATGACGTGACAATCCTCTGTAACTTACTCATGATGTGACAATCCTCTGTCTAGCTAAAAAAATGTATAAACCACAAATGAAATATGGCGTACCAGAAGACAGTTGATGGCGGGGAAATGGGCAAATAATGAAATTTTGCATGAATGCAATGATTATAATTGGAATATAATTTGTGTTCCTGATTAATGTCAACTCCCAGCGCCTGATAGTCGTGTAGAGACATGGGCTGTGCAGCTTCTGGATTTAGGGTCGGAAGGAAGGTACAAACAAATCCAGTAAAACCATGACGAGGGAGGCAAAAAGAAAAGCGTCTGAGCTCAGGCGTCTATCAAGACCCACGTTGGTTCGGAAATATGCCACGACGAGCATTTATTTAAACTGCCGCTGTCGGCATTGCTGCGAAGAGATTTAGTACATGTGGCCTTTGGCTTTTTAGCCCAGAATATTTTGATGACGAGGACCCATGTGGCTAACATTCCCTAGCAAACCAACGAAACCCTTACTTTGGTCAAAGTTCGGTCATCATTCCCGAGCAAACCAACCAAACCCTTACTTTGGTCAAAGTGTGACCGACATTCCCGAGGAACCAAACATGGCAAACCCTTACTTTGGTCAAAGTTTGGCCAACCTTCCCGAGCAAACCAACCAAACCCTTACTTTGGTCGAACACAGATCTTGTTGAAGCTGCTCAAGTTAAACGAATCTGCTCATCCCTCATTTAAGCCTTTAAGGCAACAAACCAGTGTCTGGGGAATCAACCTCAAATTCAACTTTAACTTCAAATTCAACCTCAAATTCAACCTCAACCTCATCTTCAGATACTCCTTTGGACGTTCAAACGATTATTGAGAGTTTATGTACGACTTAAAAAGCCGCACAAGCAGAAGAGCTGAGACAACTGGAACAGAAGAACGTTTTTAAGAAAGCGTTGTTAGGTTGGGTTTTTTTTTTCTTTTTTTATATTTTTAAGTCACAAAAAGAAAAGTCAATAAAAGTAGTGCCTCTGCATGACAGCTCTGAAGATGAAGAATGACCCCTGCCTGGTTTGCAAAGAGGATTGTATCAGAAGCAAGCGAGGAGAAATGTGGACCAGAACCACCAGTTGCATTAAGTGGGCATGTGAGGGATGCACACCGGGTCTATCTATACATGTATGCCAAAATTACATCAGCGATTAGGCAATTGAAGAAACTTGATCTTTAACCCGTTCTTTGTTGGTCTTTTCATCTCAAATTTAGGGGGGGGGGGGTAAACATTTCATATATTTATTTAACCAATAAAAGTTCTGAAATCTTGTGAGGAGATACTGATCTTCCATCGAGCAACTCCCCAAGCTGGGGATAGGGGGGGAGGCACCAGATGTGCCTGGTACTGGGGAAATAAATACCCGGGCGGACAAAAATCAGAACCTTCTGCCTTGTAGGAAATTAAAGGATCCACAAAGGCTAAGGAATCTTCTGAGTGGAAGGATGTGGTGAGGCAGTCCAAAGCCCCACGTGGGCTGTGTCATCAGAGGACTGGCTAAACGGTCCGAAACGTCATGAGAGCAATAAGACTTAATTAGGTTCCAATGATACAGAAATTTATTAGTGAAGTGACCTTTTCTTAATTTGAAACACTAAACAACAAAATTGTGCATTTATATTCCAAAAACATCCATCCATCCACTCATCCTTGTGGCGCTACAGCCCATGAAGTGCTTTGGCCTGCCTCACCACTTCTTTCCACTCAGACCTAACGGATGCTTTTCTTTTACATGCTTGGATTCCCAGCTGCTGTAGATCTTTCCATTAAAATTAATTTTGAAATCTCGACATTAAATGGTGGAGTACGCTTTTCATAAAACTTTATACTTGTTTGATATTGTTTATAATAAAGAATAACAATTGGCACAGGAGTTTTGAATGAGTCAAGAGTGAACGAATTAGTTTTAAAACCATTGTTCCAGTAAGGCAGGCCAGCACAACATACGGCCCGCCAGCACCCACTTTTCGACCTGCGAAGTAACGAAGTATTCTTTTTTATGATTATTTTCTTGATAGCTTTCCCCCTGTCCTATTTTCGTTCGGCCCGCAAAAAAATGTAATAAAGTATTACGGTTCACTCACCTTACATTTTGAGTTGTGCAGGCCTGCCGAAAGGCATAACCTAATATGCTAACTATTATTTCCATTTTTTTTTTTTGTTGGACTTGTTGGTCACTTTTGTGAGAATCCAGCGTCACTGATGTAGGTGCTTTCAAGAACATAGTCAAATTTTTTTGCTACATTTCCATTTTTGTGGAAAGTCATCAGACGAAACATACGCCAGCCATTATTTATTTGGCAACGGATTTTTTTATTGTTTATTTGTTCATATAAAAAAAAAATATTTCAAGTATCGTTCCTAATGTCTCTCATAATTCCTTAATGGCTGAAATACACTAACTACAAGCAGTCACAGCTTTTATCCTTCTTTCTACTCAATGAACACCTGAGTACTATGCTCTCTCAATACCATGGAATTGGACACCAACGTCACAATAAAACAGGATGGACACACACACTCTCCCATACCTGGCTAGGCTACCTGTCTGAACAACACCGAGCCCCGTGGTCATTTGTGACATCTTGGGTCCCCCCCCTCCCTAGCTTCCATCTCGACTACTCAGACCCGATGACTTTTCTGTAATGCTACTATCACCCAAACGCAGTCATTACACACGGTGCTCACTTATCTATTTCATCTACCTAGGTCCCGGTGGTGGCGGAATGGAAATCGTTACGATTACCAAATAGCATCCAAGCTACTTTTGGTTTCCCAGTTCATCTTTCCCAACGCCGTTAGAACTCATACTCGAAATATCGCAACGCCCCCGCTGTACAAGCAACAGAAAGAAATAGACGAGAACAAACGACTTCATGGGTCATGTCATTCCGTGTTCCCGAAATTTTGCTCAGCAGGTGTGCTTCAAATAAAATACTGCTACCTGTCAACCCATCCAACTCCTTAACTTGTGTGACCTCCACCTTTTCTATTTTACAACTTGGCCTGTGGACTCACGCGATTTCCCAACAGCGTCGTTTGAAAATATTCTCAAGCTAAAATATTTCTCAGTTGTTTTTTTTTTACACTCGTCATAATAATCCCACAAGCTCTAGTGTCTCATTTAAAATCAGTTCACGGACAGCACTGCTGCGAGGCGATGATCCCACAACATGGAGATAGGCCAGCTGACAACTTGCAACAATGAAGCTTTGTATGCCTCATTCAGCGTATGACCAGAATAATAATTATAATAATAAAGATTATTTAAAAATCACGCTTCATCCCCAAAGGCTCGAAGCGCGGTACATACCACATTGAAGTACAAAATTCAACATTACAAAACTACATACAAGAATACCCATTCTAAGTCTTTCATACCTTGCAACCATAAACAACACAGGCCAATATACATCTAAAAGAAAATAGCTAGATAGACAACATCACCCCAGCAGGTGTTTGGGAAAAAGATAAGTCTTCAAATCAGTTTTGAAAGACTCCAGTGCCTGGCTGTGTCTGATAGCGATAGGAAGAGTGTTCCAAATTGTTGGGCCAGTAAATGCGAAAGTGCGCCCCTCGTAATGACAAATGTATCCATGATTCAGGTTTTTTAAAAACAAATAGAGCCTACATGTAACTAACACAATTTTAGTTTAAATTTCCTGTTGTTGATGGGCGCAGAGCCTTCGTGTGAGTTGTGGAGGCCACCTGCCACCTGCCACTCTTTGGTCTTTGGCCTCCTGAATTTAACGCTGATAGTTACCCCCCCCCCCAACCACAACCTATGGTCCTTAAATGTCCGAGGCCTCGTGCGGCTGCAAGGGCGGCAGGGCCAGGGGGGGGGGGGAGGGGGGGGGGGGGGGGGGGGGGGGGGGGGAGGCTGATAGACTGCAATGCATGTTTGCAATGATACTTTGATCAAGTTATTATTTTTCAAGATTTAATATTATTACAGATGGTTTAACTTGCCCTGTCAGTCTGACGAACTTCTAAAGTAGGCCTATTTGATAAATAATAATCGTTTTGTTCCATGAACAGCTATTTAATTTTAATATTAATAATCATAAAATAGTTCCACAATAATCACATTGACGACCATTCTGAAATCTGACTCCAAAATTTTGATTTCATTATTCCGATGTTGCCAGCATGACAATGCATAGCTTACAATAGTTACAATATAGGAGCATCGATTATTATAATAATTATTTTTTGTTAATGCGAAGAAAAAATACATTTAATATTTCATAGAAGCTGTCTACTGAGTCTACTATAGATATCACTTTATACGTACAAATAGAATTTTAAACTTTGACCTCTTTCCAGTTATGTAACCATCAACAAAATAATCGTTAACTTCCTGTTCTATAACTGTATTAGACTCATGACCAGACCTAGATTTAGACTTCATTCGCTGTACATAATAATCGTGTACATTTCCTTACATTAAATTACTATTTTGTAGTTTTTATCTTGTATGAGGGAAAATGCAAATGGAAGAAAAGAATCAAGAAATATGGAGAGAGATAACAGACCCAAACTATGGATATTTTGTTATTTGTCTGTCTGTGATTTTTTTCTATGTTTTATCGATAGTTTCAATGTTTTTCCAATCTCCATCTGTTGCTCAAAAATCAAAGTGGAAATGGAAGAACATTTCAGTTTCTTTCGTACACTCAAATATCAGCAGTATTTGGGCAGTTTCATGGTAAAGTTATTTTATTTTTTAACTTGATTATTGATACTAATAATAATAATAACAGAAGGCTAAATAAACCTGGTTAAGGATGCGACAACGTCTTTTCGGGTGTCTACGTGTGGGAGTCACTTCCCTTTGTTTATTTTTAGAGAATTATATTTTTATTAGGGTCAAAGCCCTGGTTCCTATAGGGATAGGGTCAAAACCCTTGTTTCTATAGGGTCAAAACCCTGGTTCCTATAGGGTCAAAACCCTGGTTCCAACAAGGTCAAAACCCTGCTTAGTTGAGGGTTCAGGTTAGGTTTAGGGATAGATTTTCCAAAAAATACTATTCATTTTTTTTCATTCCTTCATTTTAAAAAAAAATTAACATATTTTTCTCCCTCCCCTTCCTTTTTAATAACACATGTTTTGCACTACTTTTTTGATCGCCATCTTGATTGACACTTCACGTGACTTCACGGTTCGTGTCTACCAAGATGGCGGCCATTGAGAAAATTTTGGCATCCTCTCTCAAAAGTTACCTAACATTAATAATAATATCATTATTTTGTCTTGTCTTTGTATTTCAAGCTGCCACATTGACCGCATACTATGTCTTGTTCTCAACGCTGGCTTTTAGGGTGTGCAACTTGTGCCCTCGCACATGGTGCCGTGGCCATAGGGGGCCCAGTAAATATTTAAATTCTCTTCGTTTATTAAAGTGAAGTGTGAACCTCGGGTCCGGGGTCGAGAAACGGTATTCTAACTTTTTGTACAATAACTTTTCATACGATGAGTTTTCATACAATGAAAGGGGATCCGAAAAGGTGCTTCGCACAGGGCAAAAGTTTACCTAAGGCTGGCGTTGATGTTCTTCTATTTAAAATAGTAAATAGGTCTACCGGTCTACCATCAATCAACATAGTCACAAAATTTTAAACTTAAGCAAAGCCAAAGCCAAATGGAAAAAATTCCATAGTGAAACCTTATCAAAATCAAAGTATTTTAAGTTTTAACTTTACCTCTTGATAATTCTATTGTTCTGCACTGTGTGTTGTCAGTATAGGCTATAATTTTAGGCACTTCAGTAAAGCAATGGAGACTGCATCAAAATTTGTATGGGAAATGGCCATTGTCACAGAAGAATCCAATTTTTTAATTTTTTGGACGTTGGTGCTTTTCCTTTAAAAAAAAAAGGACTATTTTGTCATAAAATTGTGGTGAGCTTCGCAATATGCATTAGTGTTGCTGGTCACTGGATGCTAGCAATTTTCAATTTTCTTATACCATATATATGGTATACATAAATATATATATATCATTAACATGGCAATAGCATCCTATTCTTCCTTCAGTTAAGTCAATTGCTTCACTTATTAAATGAATGTTCAAATACATTGCTATTATTAAATTCTACGACAGAACTTAGATATGATCCACAAACATGCACTCAAACACACACTTTGGCTCTTCAGCGTTATCAGCTTGTGAAATGAAATATTTACTGTACATAGAAAAGTGCCACAGTCATAACCAAAGATATGCATCTTGCTAGGAAAATATTTACACAAAATTCCCAGCAAGTACATTATTATTTTCAGAGCTTTGCAGATTCCTTTAAATTACATTTAGTTTCACATCAGTCAGTTTTCTATTATTTATTTCATCAGGTAAAATGTACAAACTATTATGTTAAAAAGATGTACTGGTTCTATGCATGCACTTTTCATTTCTCCCCAATGAGTGGAACACATTTTAGAAAATGAGAAGATATCTCCCCCCTTTTTTTTTTTTTTATTTTTTTTTTTAAACCCGAATCCAGTTCTGTTTTTTAGTAGGATCCAGGTATGTGCAGGGTGGGGTAATATTTTGCATTGGGGGTATACGGGTCAGTACTAGATTTGGTCCTCCTGTATAGTATATCCCATTGATGTGGCGTTTCAAAACTTTGATTTCAAGAAATAAAATAAATGTTGAAACCTATCGTATGGTATAGGCTGTTATTAGTAAATCCTGGCATGCCGCATAATTAAGGCATTAATAGGCCAATTTTGGAACATTTCCTACTATATGCCAAGTTAAAATCAAATCAATAGGTGAAGGTGCCATTATAATCTAACAATAATGAATATGATTTGTTTGCCACTGCCCCTCGACCTCACTGAAACAGAGGATATTGTTTTACATTATATTTATTTACTGATTTTTCAGGCATTTGAATCAGATTTATATACTGATCTATCAGGCATTTTTTATGCCTTGTTTTTATATACTGATATTGCGGGCCTTTGTAACGCATCGTTTTACTAATGAGCCAATTTAAAGTCAACTTCATTTCTTAAATCTTATAATGACTCTTATTAAGATCAAAGTAGAAACCATAGGTAACAATTTTTTTCTCCAATTAATTGTTATTTATAATCTTTAGCTTCTATGAACGACCTGACATGGCCGAAGATCTCATCACAATATTTACACCATTGTCACACAATCTTGTTGCCTTTTCTGTTGGTAAATATTTTTATTTACTCCCTGATAACATTCTCTAAAAATGTATTAAATAATGACTATGTCATTCATTGCTCTTTTAACGAAATTTTAGTATAAGATGAGCCAATGTTTTTACAGGAAATTCAAATGTGTCAAATATTTAGTGCGAGGAAATATTTCAAAATAATGAAACTAATTTTTCCAAACCACAGACTGTGCATGTCAATGTTGGTGTACAATTTAGTTCACATTTGTTTTTAATTGCTCTTTTTTAAAAAATCTATTTCAACAGGTTACTTTGTTCATGATCTAATTGACCTAATTGCAAATCAGAGAAAGAGGCAGTCATTAGAGCTCATAGGTCATCATATTGTGGTGAGTTTTCTTTTTATTCAATGAAAAAAAAAATGTACACCCATTGTACACAATTAATTATATTCATCCGCACTGTAACAAAGGTTTGATGATTCAGAAAGGTTGATTTTGTGTTTTAACCCACGAACTGTGGCGTGCATTATTCTGTGTTGTTGAGCTTTTCAGGGCATTTTGGGTGACATTTTAAATTACATTAAATGACATAGAAATAGTGATACAATGCCCCAATAAGTATATATTTTTATAAAGGTAAATGGATGGGGATAAAGTTGGCCGTATTGCCCACCCCGTAAAAAAATTTTGCTCAGTGTCCTTGACCTTGGAATTCTCAAGAAAAAAAAAATCGACAAATGTCTTGCTTTCAAGTACTCATAACATCATTAATTTTTATAGATACACTTAAAACACAAATCTAAATGTTGTAGCAAATTCATTTATCTTTCAGAAAATGTATAGTTTGCTAAGGTTTTGATTGCAATTAAACATCTGAAAGCAATTTTAGTAATTTTGGGTCATTTATATAAGAAACTGGGGACCACTGCTAAAACCAAGTACAAAATACGAAATCTCAGGCAAAATAGTTATTATTGACTAGTAAACATTTAAAAAGGAACTGTGGAACTGATTTGGTTTAATTAACTATAAAATTTATTAGTTCTGAACTATAATCTGTAGATTCTGTGACTAAAATTCAGTCAGTCCTTGCCCAACCTCCGGGCCTGGCTCGAAGTCTAACAGGAGCCTAAATAGGCCTACTTCAGTATCACTAAAACTAGTAAAAAATTCATGAAAAGAATAATCTCAACTGATATCGTCATGGGGAATGTTAAAATCAACATCAGTGTCACTTAAAACCTCTCCTAAAAAGCTTTCAAACATATTTCTATTAGTTCTTGCACTGGAGGCCCAGCCATAGCGTCATCCATTTTAGCTTTTAAAAAAACGGCGATATAAAACTCCGATTAAAAAGTATTTATTTTCCCTTTACCACGAAAGAGCTTGAACCGGAAGATGATTTAACTCTTAATAAAAGGAAGTGGCTACAATTCCGGTTAAATATTGGATTGGAAATTCCTTTCAAACCATGTTTTTTATCGGGCGATTTTTTCGGCCGCCACAGTACAGAACGAGAATGTCTGCCGATTTTTTCGGCCGACCACAGTTCCTGGGTTAAAAATAACGTCAAAGTTGTCTTACATTAATTTTGTCCATTGTTAAGGATCAAGCTGATCAGAATGGTTCCTCTGTCTGTTTTGATCATTAAAGGAATCTATGGTTTAGTTAGAAATAAGGTTATTCCAGTTTTATGTATTCCAATTATTTTTAATTGTGCAAAGGTCAAATGTGGTGTTTTTTTAAGATTCAGAAAAAATAAATGTTTTAAAATTATCCAAGTCAGGGTCTTCCAATTTAATAACTGACACAAACCACCTGTGTTCTGATCTAAGAAATATGATTACGTTTACTATCTGAAAACTGTTGAGAATAGCTGGAATATGATCATAATTGAATAGAAATGCAAAAATAAAAATGACCTTAAATTTTAATAGTTTGAAAGGTTCTGTAAATATATTGTAACACTGAGTAGTTGTGACTTTGGCTCAGTCAACTAAATAAAAAAAAAGATAAAAAAGTTTGTTTCATGTTTTTCAAACTCTTACTTGGAATGAATATAAACCATTGATTTTTCCCTAGATAATTACATGCTTCATGGTGGCCGTCTCATCACGTCACTATGTCGGCTACGCTGTTGTTGCGTTGATGGTGGAACTCAATAGTATATTCCTGCATCTTCGGCAGTTGTTGCAAATTTGTGGCGTCAGCAAATTTAACCCATGGTATAGATTCAACAGTCTTATAAACCTAGGTGGGTCATGTCTTTAATGCTTAGACATTTCATATCATTACATTTTGAATAGGTCAAATCATTACTAACTATTGAGTTGGTCAAAACAGTATCATATAAAACTTTAAGTAAGTCATTTCCTTGCAACTTGAGTAGGTCATTTTATTAGAACTTGGGAAGCTCATTTCTTGCCTGGTCCATAAATTCTAGATTGTATTATTTTTACTGCTGAAAATCACAATAGTTGAACAGTTAAGAGGGGGAAGACACCCATTTATATAACAAATTTCTTAGTGCTCGTACACTTTCTGGTTCCATTACTTCTTTTCAGCACTCAATGTATTAGCCTCATAAAATGTCATTGTATTTTTATTTTTTTGTGCAGCTCACATTGAGCAATTTTTTTTTAAAAATCCCCAGAGACATCCTCCAAATTTGTAATATATGAAAACTTAAACAACCCATATATATTGTCTCATATTGTTACTTGAATGCTTTACTCAGAAAGGGATTTTCATGTTATGAACAAGCAAATATTAAGCAATGTTATCAGAATGCTAGGAATTAAATTTACAAAAAATATATTGTTGATAGTTGATTCATTAGCATTTAGTATCTGGAAGATCAGCTAAATAGAATTAAAATATCAACAATCATATTTTGTTTCAGCTACATTCATAGTTTTCCGTATTCTCCTGCTGTCGTGGATGACACGGTGGCTGGTCATCAACAAAGATGCCTTACCCCTGGTGTTTTACACCCTAGGCAGCGTAGGTCTGGCAGTGATGGTTGCAATGAACATTATTTTATTTTATAGACTCCTGCGATCAGACTTTATATCTTTGAAGGAAACTGATGACAGCAAAAAGGTGTCGACCTAAACTAATATCTACATTTTTATTAAAAAAATCTGGTAAAAATTATTTTTGTTTTTTACAAGGCTTGTAATTATGTGAGTGATTATGCTTTAAAAAAAAAAAAGAAATCAAATTTGAAATAACACAATGTACTGCATCAGTTATTATCATCAAATTAGTTTATATAATTTTGTTTTAAACACAGTGTATAATATTATTTATTGTTAGCTTTGTAGTAAATGTTACTGTATACTCCCTGTTACTGGATGGCATAATAAATGGACTTGAATTTATTTTCATGAAAATGATTGTAACTGTTGGTTAGAAAAATGTTTTAAAAATAAGAAAATATTTTCACAAAGGTCAGGAGAAATTTTTTTTTTTAGGGGAAACCTATAACAAAATAACTTTAGCCATTTCAAATGCGGCAAGCGGAGCCAGCAAAACTATATTCAGATTCAATTCCCCTGCTACTCTTTAATATGATGTCACATAGAATTTAATTTTTATGAAGGACAATGAAAAAGACTGATGAATCAAGTCAAAAATTCATATTGTCATGGAAATTCAGCAAATAAATGATCAGGATTCTTGGACATGTTTATGCTGAAGTGATTAGCCGCCAACTCGTCTACTCGTGACTGTTTAATGCCCGGTGATAAGACAACTCTTTATGGACATGTTAACTCTGTGGGCCCAAGCAATTTAACTCCCCTGTACCCTGCACTACCACTAACAACACCCTGATATTGATGTTTTTTTGTTACTGCTTTTGCCTGTTGCATGAACAAGATAATCAAAAGCTGCTAATCTGTAATAATCTGTATCCTGTTTGTATTTATCCAGCTGAGAACTAGCAACAATTCTTGAGCTTTTTTTTTCTTCAGTTTTTTTTAGCTTTTTTTTTCTTCATTTTTTTACATCTTTTGAAATACATCTCTTCTGTTATTTTATTGTTTATTTTGTAGTTGTTATATATCTCTATTGTTATCTTAAATGGTATAGACAAACAAACTAAAGCAAAAATTTAAAAAAAAAAAATATTTTTTCCATAAAATGTTTAAGAATAATTTTTAAGAATGTTTTAAAAAAAAAAACATGCATTGATGTGAATTTGCGGGATGTCATTTTTGCTTTTGTTGGCAAATTATTTGTGTTTATATTTTATTGTTTATTTTGTATTTTTTATATATCTCTATTTTTAACTTAAATGATATAAACAAACAAATTAAAGCAAAAATTTAAAAAAAAAAAAATATTTTTTCCATAAAATGTTTAAGAATAATTTTTAAGAATGTTTTAAAAAAAAAAACATGCATTGATGTGAATTTGCGGGATGTGATTTTTGCTTTTGTTGGCAAATTATTTGTGTTTATGCACGGCTCATCAGGACGTGAATATTACTGGAACGTATTGAGATATTGTTGGTGCTTCTGTCTTTTTTCTTTTTTCTTAGGTTTGCTCATCATGTTAATTTGGTTTATCTGATCTGTAAGTTGTTGATCTAAGATTGTACATTCCTGCATGGTCCTCCACAGCAAAACCAGTATCACTTATTGGCTTTTTTTTTAAAGTAAAAAAAATTTCTGAAATGGTCTACTGTCTATATTTATACTGATTGCCTGAAATTATGCTTTCTATGTCTTCAGTCCATTTGCCTTTTATAAAAATTTCTTTGAGAAGTCCATATTTTTACTAGGCCCAAGATGTTGTAAAAATAGCCATTACATATGCATATATTCAATATTCCAAGGCTTTTGCAATGTTTTTATGTTAAAAAAACACTTAAGAATATTTAGAAAGAAGACAGGATAAGTGATTCAACTGTGTTTATCTGTATTTCTCAAAAGCTGGTTTTATTGGAGGATGTATCTGTTGTTTGTTCTTTAATTTTAAAGTTTGAAAAGGGAACTGCGACATTGTATTACACATTTAACCATCAGACCAAAGATTTGTTTTTATTTATGTTCCCCTCTATTTATTTATCTTATTTTATTCCTAATTCCTGGTAATTTCAAATTTCCTTCTGAATGATTTATTTATCTTTGCTACCTGTAATAAAGTATAGTATATCAGGGACTGCGTTCAAGCCGTGCAAAGTAAATAATTGTGGAACAAGATTGGTTTAGGCTTGAGACAAAAAGACAGGACTTTTCACACAAGGCAATCCATTTTGGAACAAGATTGGTTTAGGCTTGAGACAAAAAGACAGGACTTTTCACACAAGGCAATCCATTTTGGAAGCTTATAAACCCTGTATAGGCTAACATGACATGTATTATTTTCTGGGCTTATTGCCGTAGTTGCAGAAATATGGAAATATTTGAAATAGTATTTAAAAATTAAGAAACAAACAGTACAAAGTTTTGACGCAAAAAAATTTAAGTGAGTTTCTGTCCTTTCAAAGTATCTACAAGAAATGTTTTAACATTGTAAAGAAACCTCTCACTCAATGTATTATTGGTCTAAGATGTAGTTGTGGAATGAATCTCTTTACTTTCACTGGTGTATTTCTCAACCTAAGAATGGTCAACAAACACAAATAAAATACTTTATATCTCTGAACTCAGTCACAGGTACTTAAAGATTTTCTTTATTAACTTAAAACGATTGTTCAAATACTTATATTTTATGTATAAGAAGGAAAGATGTTTTATATATGTTAATGTATTTCACATACATTTAATCCTCTATCAATACAGGTAAAATTATGTAGAAATAGATGTACCTGCTGTAGCAAGAATTCATTGTTGGTGGTTATTTTCTCCCTGCGTTGTAATTCAGTAAGGGACACAATCTCTGAAGAGAGTTTATTTCACCCGTTGCCCAGTGAGAGATGTCTTCACTATTGATATCTACCCCCACTGTCAGTCGCACTTTTTCTTCTTCCTTTAGCTTGTAGTAGGGAGGTACAGTTGGATCCGCCGCAAGGTGTGAGGCCTACAGAAGATTCCGTGTCCAGTTCCCTTTTCCATTTATATCCAAACACTTGCCTCCGCAGTTTATACCCACTGCTGGCTTTCTGGCATGTCACAGCCTCATCTTCCTTTAAGTGACTAATTCATTTGTAGGTGTCTGTCATCTGTCATCTGGTTATGACTATTAAACCTGCACAGCTGATCATGTTGTAGTTGTCTGTCATCTGGTTATAACTAGTAAACCTGCACAGCTGACCATGTTGTAGGTGTCTGTCATCTGGTTATAACTAGTAAACCTGCACAGCTGATCATGTTGTAGGTGTCCGTCATCTGGTTATAACTAGTAAACCTGCACAGCTGACCATATTGTTAAAAAAATCATAAACATTCTTTTTTTAATGGTTTCTTAGATCAATGGCCAAATTATCATGGAACAATGTTATGCTCATTATCTAAATTGAATACTGCCTATGCTGGGGGTGGGGGGGGGGGTGTTTAAAACCCAGTTGTTGGCAGTGTCCACAAAGAAAAGAAGGAAGAGCTGTTCTGTAACTTTAATTTTTTCATTAGGTGGCACTTTGCAATATTGTTTTTAAGATTACTTGTATTATTACCTATATCATTACCTATATCATCATAGCTATACATTCGCCACTATGGGTTGTGAGCTTTGTTTTCACATAAACACATTAACTACAAAACCTACGGTGTAGTTACTGCTAGACCCTTGATCTAGCTATTCACAGTCGTTAAAGAAGTAATCAACACAGAAACAGAGAGATAGAGAATAACTCATCTAGTGTTTTTTTTATTTATTTTTTTTTTATTTACCAATCAACATAAAAGACTCTCCCTTCTAGCATTTCAAAGATCAATAAATCCTTTATAGAAGGAAATCTGGTTTCATGTATCCCCCTTGGGATGTGTTGGTGTTTATGTTGGTGTTTATATTGGTGTTTATGTTGGTGTTTAAAAATAAAAACATAGTCAAAAATATTTGGTTAAAAATTGTTTCCAAAAATTCCTGTGATCTATAATATCTCAATATTTTAGACAAATTTGAACCTCAATAAAAAAAACTTGCTATAAAGTGGATTCTAAAATGATTCCAATCCACGTTTCCCTGCATGATGTCACAGTCATTTATCTCATGTCCAGTAACAAATTCCTGAGATTATAAGATTTTTTATTGGTAATAACTTTGTTTTCTGCACCACTTCTGATGTGGGGGGGGGGGGGGGGTGCCTTATATTCGTTATACATTTTACATTCATTTTTTTTTATTCCAGTCTATAGGTGGAGGATATTTGTTGTTGTTCAGTCTATAGGGGGAAAATATTTGTTGTTGTCCAGAACTTGATTTAAACCAAAACCATTCTGAAATCAAATCAATTTTAAAATTCAGTGGATTCTAGCTTGGTACAGCAGCTTCTACCTTGGTGCGTTAGATTTTACCTTGGTACAGTAGTTGCTACAAATTTCACCTGCAGTTCATGTCTAGCTGACATGTCTTTCAATGTGCCTTCTCTAGTTGCAGATGAACATTAGAAGAGTTCTTTGTTATTTTGTTATCAACTGATCCAGATAAGAAAATTGCTTTTATTTTTGTGTGTGTTAAATTGACATTTTATTGGGATATTTCCCAAGATCATTTTTTTTTCCTCCGTAAACTCTCATCATTATTTTCATTGACCAAACAGCTTTTTTTGTGTGTGGTCAAATGGATTTTCCTGTTAACATAGTAAACCATTTGCTGTATACAAAGCAATGTTTGAGCTCGATATTTTGAGTATCTTTACCATAGTATTTTTCAGCAGAGACTATTATTGCTTTTACAAAACTGCGAACTCGATGGCCTCAGCAACAGATGGAATGAGTCACCTTTAAATTTAAGTTAAATTAAATTGCGTCATTTTCCCCCGTTAATGAAATACCCAAATGCGTTGTTAGCTCTTTGATTGGCAAAAAATTGACTGATATTTTCCCACCCCTTCTGAATTAAATTTGTTTTTCAATGAAAACTTTTTTTTTTTTTTAAAATCCTATTGCATTATATCATGTCAAAAAGAAAAAGAAATTACAAAAACTGCCTCACAGTAATTGAATTCTACTGGAGTAAGATAAGACATTAAGAAAGGAATAATGAAGAACTTGATGAAACAAATTTAGATTTTTAAAAAAAAATTATTTGCATATATATTCAGGCAAGCAGACACAAACTACTGTAATTATTTTACAATTGATTTTAGTAATAAAAAAAAACTATTGCATCTTTACCTTTAGATCTACAACTTGATGTGTCTCAGAATGTGTGGCTGTCAATGATATGTCTCAGAATGTGTGACTGTCAATGATATGTCTCAGAATGTGTGGCTGTCAATGATATGTCTCAGAATGTGTGGCTGTCAATGATATGTCTCAGAATGTGTGGCTGTCAATGATATGTCTCAGAATGTGTGGCTGTCAATGATATGTCTCAGAATGTGCAACCATTAATCCAAAGCTGTTGATAACAAAATAACATCTAAAATAAACACCAGTTCATTTAAATGCTTCTATTTTTAAAAAAAACAACAACTATAAACTGTCATATAGAAGATATAACTCTAGCGGGTTTTTTTTTTCAATGCTGTTAGTTCAGAAGCATTAAATTCA